CGAACAGTTTAACGCTGCCTATGGAAACTTCTATCAGTATAAAGCGACCACTTTCGATGATCGCGGAACAAACACGCCATGGACGAGATTGTACGTCGTATTGTGTTACTCCGTTAATTATATCTCCCTATTACGTTACAAAGAAACTCGCATGTGTCCGCACAATGCGATAAACAGAGTGGATATAATGCTTAAAATTAATTGCAAGGGTTAGCTTTTTTAACATACTAAATCCTATGGAACGAGACTATTCGTATATTCACAGTGTGCGAGACGCATTAGCTTAATAAAAGTATCATAATCGTCATAGTTGTTATCCTATTATCAACGAGCAAACGCTCAATACGATTACACGGAATTAATAATACAATTAATCTTCCTCGCACTGCATAAATTGGATACCTATGCACGACAATTGTGACCAATGATTCGTAGACTAACGAGATTCTAGAGATACAAATAACCAGCAAAACGTCTTGAAAAATGATGAGAAATGATCGAGAATGGAAAACACGAATATATATACCTTCCGAAGGAAAATTCAGTGAGAACTGAATTAATCACGCTTATTCTTCGCGCGATCGAGCTAGATCTGATGATACAATGCTGTCTTTCAACGTTTGCGACAATATGGCGTTTCACAGAGTTATTCTCAATGGATGAAGTTCTTGTTATACTAATAGAATTTCTGATGCAACTTCCTCTGTAATGAGGCGATATTAAGTCACTCTATTATCATCTCGTCGTAACAATAAGACCTTCTATCTTGGTAGTAGTTCTGCAATCTCTAGTCAATTGGTAGATGCAACACTAGCTGGCTGAGATTAATCCTCCTCCTATCTAACTTCATATTTTGTCCAATATATAAAAATTTGTGAAATAGCCAGGTACAGAAACTGAGCATATTTTTCATGCATGAAACCTAGCCTCTCCAGGATGAAATTCATTCGATACAACGAGCATGAAATTATTATATTAAAAGTTTCATTAAGTCATCCTCAAACAATGATCCAGGGATATCGAACAAGGATGTACGTAATATTTCAATCACCGTTCTCGTATGGCAATAATTTAATATATACTCCGTCCATATAATTTATCGTATCGAGATTTTGTTTCATTTCACTGCCGCCTGTGAAACCGGTGTACTATGTACTTTATCGATATAATCGATTTTCAAATGCCCGGAAATGAGTTTATGTATTGACACACATGCGTCCGCGCGCACTAGTTATGGCCCATTTAGGTCAACTGCCTCTTGTAGAGCTGCACAATAACATTCAACCGATGCCACTTCAGCCTGTTAGGATCATTGTCTTCGAGGATCATGAGGCTTCCATGATGTGGCTTTTCTTGCCATTCGTATTCTGCACTGCCAAGTCCTTTCTAAGCACCATGATTCTGCAAAGAATGTCGATTCACCATTCCAATCGAGTTCAAACATCCCATATATGAACTAAATAAGATTTAATTTCGGCTAGATCTGTCACCCATTGAATAAAATTTTCATTTTCCTCTCGAGCAATTAGACGAATCGCGATTCACATGGAACGTGTTCCAAAATCGACTCGGGGCTATGATGACAAGGAATTTTGGAATACTACAATCCTCTCGTGAGAGATAAAAAGACTGTTAGAGAAATACAGTCACGTAGAGATACGAATACAAATTTGAGATAAAACTTCGAGCATCCAGTTTAGCAGTCAGACAAGCAGAGGATTATTTTTCTACAAATCAACTTATTTAGAAAGATGAATATTATAAAAAGGAATTTCATCGAAGAAATTTCTCATATCATCGAACCGTGATAGTGCTTTGAAAATGAATAATTTTCTTCACGAGGAAAGTGTAATTAAATATAAAAGACACGATATCTGCCCCGCAAACGATTGTCTCGTTTAAGTTATCCATGAAACGATCGTAAAACCTAGTTTTTCTCTTCGTCGTTGGTAATTAGTTCGCAACAGTGCTTCGATTAATTGGCAGGCTTTCATGTTGCTTGTGTCAGCGTGAGACAGATTGGATAGTCTCGATAAAGAGACACTTTCTACGTACTACCTTTAGCTAAACCCCTTTGAGAGCGATGGATTTCCTGTTACAAGGCAGAAAATTTCTACTTAGTACCGATATCTTTCGAACGGTTTAGTCCTTACGAAGTACACCTAGGAGAGCAACTATGGTACTAGATGGGGGCAGAATGCCAGTAATAATGATTAATAAAAAAGGAAACCTAAAATAAAAATTATTTAGTACAATATTACAATGCAAATGATAATACGTTTATTCAATTATTTATAACATACCAAACGAATATTATTACACATCCTTTACTATGCCATCGGTGTTCTTCTTCCTCCATCGTAATTTCGATAAAAGAAGAACGAAATTTTTTATCAAATTTTCACTCAAGATACTCCAGGCTCTCCAACAATCAAACCTGTTCATGCTCTATGTTTTGAACTCGGGATTCCACAGTCTATGCACTTACGTATGTACTTCTTTAATCATTGCTTCAGTATGAATCTTGGAAAGAAAGTTTGATATCGACGTTAACACTATCCCCATATTAATCAGACTGATATATCAGATCGCTGTCATTTAAGACGGGTGGCGCATAGTTTTGCTATCTCCTACGATGCAATCACAAAGGGTGACAAGGATCCTTTGAAATCGTATTGAACGTCAGGATTGCAGAAATAGACCAGTAGGCCTTTGGTTAACTGAAAGTGAAACGCAACAGACTGAAGTCGTGGCGATGGTGCCAGCGATACGTGGATATATCGAGGCCACGTTATAGTATTGTCAAATATAACCCGACACGCTATCGTATATTTTAACGAATAATGTTCGAGATAATAGTGTCACCAGCATTTGAGATAAATTCCTGAAGTATTCCGGGTGCCTTTCACGTTTCAGAGTGTATTCGTTCGAAATAAACAATCGTGAAAGAAAAATTGTTATTTTGTCCTTATTTCAGATTTATTCCAGTTTTCTAAATCCATCTTCATTACAGAAGGAACGTATCCTTTACCAGGAATAATGCCATCGACGCTGAAAATGAGCAACCAAGCAGCTTAATTTACCTTTACTTACGTCTCGATACCGTAGTTACCATTCGTTCTACATTTTCAAGATTTAAAGAGAAGTTTTACGATGTCGAATCGCTATCCGAAGAGAAATCTTTAGAAAATGATGCCAATTACCAGGTCTCACCATGCGGTGTCGTTGCGAGACCTGACCTTAAGGGCTGTAATACAACGATTACCCTACTGGGAACTTTCCACATCAAAGATACGCTCGTCTAACTTGTAGCAAGAGCTACCGACAATTTAATGATGCCTCTGAAAAAGATTTTCGAAACATTAATATATTATTATGTTATTAATATATTAATATGTTATTTCAAGAGATTCTCTAATGACGCTAACTTCTCCTAGGGAAAAGGGTTCAACGCCAGTAATCAAAAATCAAATGAAAATCTCAGCACAGCCGAAATGAGAGTTCGTGAGCACTCGAGAAAATCAAGCAAATAATCTTTGCACATCACAAAGAGGTAGTTACATAAGATAACTACATGTTCCAGCACCCTCGACCGATTGGCCCTCGCCCAACTCAAATCACGGCTAACCTCATGCTAGCCGCGGTTTGAAATTCTTGGTTAAGATAAGATATTTTATTTTTGACCTCCTGTTTGCTAAGAAATAATTTCCCAACGGTACAGATCATTTCTTAGATAGGTATACACATCTAAAGTACAACTAAGTTCACCCATCACGTGCATTTCAGTGCAGGTTACCGTTTCTTAAAATGCAAATTTTTTCGAAATTCTAATTCTGAAAGTTTCGAAGGAACGTATTATTAACTGCAAAACTTATCGCGAAGTCGACATTTTCGTGACTACAAAACTACGAGCGTGAGTCGTACTGAACAATTCTTACTATCGCGAACGTCTATCATTGAGTGCATCGTTGTAATAAATGAAACACGAAAGCGTATTTTCCCGGGAACGTGCAATTTTGTAGGAGTTTTGTTGCGTACGCAGGGAGATAACCTGCTTGCGTTTTCTCTTTAGCTTCTATTTTAATTTCACTCGATGGAAATTTGTGTTAAATAAGAAGCTTTGCGCGATGATTTTTCCACGTATAATGCACGATCATTGCAATATATACAGAGCACAACATATTGAAGAATTTATAAAACTGGGTATCGTATAAATTGAAATACCGATTTGGAAAATATCAAAGGTTGATAGAGTTTTTCATAATTTAATAATTAATTTGGGAACGTTGTATTTCGTATTATTTAATCAACAAAATGATTTCTTATTCTTACGTACCTTTTTCCTAACACGATATAGGATAATAAGTACATTTGAGCATGATTTGACTCTAACATATATAAGCTAAATATATCATTCGGACAATAACCTATTAATTACATCGATATAGGTTATGTCGATTAATGATTTACATAAATGTATAACATGATATAAAATTAAATGACTTAATATGTTTCATGCATAATTTTGTATGAGCTATGGTTATAATAAAATAAATAATCTTTAAAAAAATAATCTTTAAGTACCTTTGAGTTGATTTATATTATATCTTGTCGCCGATCACGTTGTTGATATCGTATCCTTCACTATCACAAGATTAGATAAACTAAAACTAAGAACGTAATTGAACAACATTTATCGGTAAGATAATAACAGCTAAAAGATCGTATCTGATATATCACAGTCACTAGGTATTGAAACAAATACTAATTTTTGAACTATATGCAAAGTTTTATGTTATAAATTATTATGCCACGTTTCACGATTCAAAAAACACCATTGAAGATGGCGTATTAGAATCCTCGCACGTTCGCCACCTTGTGACGAAATTTTTCAACAGCGTATTGCTAGTACCCTCTGAATTGTCGCCACTGACCTTACTTTCTACATTACCATCCGAGGTAGACACTGAACCTATCATTGTTGACAGTTTTCAGGGAAAGCTTCCTGCAGCTGTTGCGAGAAACAAACGCTCTTTCTCGTTACAGCTTTTCGATTGTTTATTTTCCCAGAAATATTTATACTTTTGTTTTTAGATAGTGATTAAAGAATTCCTTATTATAAGACTGCACTCCGCACGAATTTTTGCTGCCGTTAAAGTTCACCATAGATTGAAGAAAATGAGGTATTTATTATGAAAGTGGCTTTCTTTCTTCCCGCGTCTCTACGTTTCGTCATTTCGTTGTAATCTTCGTTGCGCGTGCGATTATTCTTCATCTCTGTAACCTCATGTTTATTTCTGGCAAATTGCCAGTTATTTCATTGCTGTGGGGCTTGTAAAAGTAGCTGCATTAAATAGATAGAGGGAGAAACGGGCGGGAATCGAAAATTATTACAATAACTGTCATGCATGAACCGCCATTTTCCACTGACGTTTCTCTTTGAAAGTAGGCTTCCCGTTATTAATTATTTCATCTTTTCTGATACATCGAACTTTTTGTATATTATTTACATATTTGAATTTTTCCGTAATAATGCGTGATGTCTTGTTTTATTAGAATTTTTCAACGAAAACGATCTTGGAAAGGTGTATGACAAATCAATTTTAGATATATGTATACGTGGCTTCTGTGACAAATATAGACGCTTCTATGCTATGAATTGATAGATTAATATCAATTATTTTAATATTACTAATTATTTCCTCCATCTTGTAAAATTGTTTATATCATATGTACATTTTCTCTATTGTAGTATATGCGATGGATATTGAATAAAATGTTATATGAAATAAAAGGTTATATTTTGAGTTGCGATATAATGAAATGGCGTCCATTTCCTTCCAGTCTATAATGCAGTATTTTAGAGTCTAAATAACATTATAACAGATATCAGTAGATTTGAATGAATGCTTTCCTTCTAATTTTTATATCCAAATTTTTTACACAGATGTTTCAAATTGTTTTATTAGATTTTGTGAATTCCCTCGAATACCGACGTATTCATAGTTTTATATTTCGTAGTTGTATTTGTTTTAATTGCTACAAAATCGTTAAATCTTAAAATAGAATGTACCTACTGAACGCAGTAACCCAGTTCAGTAGGAGTCTGGCCTGTTAATATGGTGATTGTTTTTTGTGTTTTGATTACGTACATGTTTGGAATCTTATTTTAACAAATTTTATATTAAATATCTTTTTCATAGTGGTAGATCACAAATGACGGCAATGAATGGGAAGAGACCATCTTCGATCCCATCTCGACATCAGTCTGAAACTGTAGCTCAACATTTTGACTTAATTAAATATATTTATGATTGTAAGTATCATACATTATTTCTCTTTGTGATTTGTAAATTAATTTTATATATTTATTTTTGCAGCCTGGAATACAGTATCAAGGGAATTAGATATGTGTCACAATCAACCACACAGTAATTCTTCTAGTTTCAGAAATGGAGCATCTGTCACATATTATCAAGAGCGAGAACCAAATCCACAACTTAAAGGTGAAGAAAGTTTTATTATATATGTCATCTTTTATTTATCAATTTGAATTAATTATGTTTATTTTAGATTTTGAGCCATTTAACCTTGAAGCCTGGTGGGGACAGCGCGTTGTTCAAAGTATTACTAGGAATACAAATTCCTAGTGCCAGGCTCACCATATCGACTATAATCGAACATTCTCAAATAGACATAAGAAACAGAAAAGATAAATTCAGAGCTGCCGGAGAAAACTTTTTCCATTTCTAGAAACGATTTATCATGTATTCAAAAATAAGTAATGGGAGGAGAATAGCATAGGTATAAATAAGTATCTAGCAATCAATTTTGAATCTTTTTGATAACAAAGATAGAATATTAGCAAATAATCAAAGATAAAGATGAAAGAAAGAGAAAGGGAAAGAATAGGGTTGTGGAATCATACGTATTGGTATGAAAATGACATTCCTCTAATCTTTTATCGTGTTTTAACATAATATCGCCTTTTCCCGGACCTTTTTACTCATCGTGTTTTTAAAAGTATTTTACATAAAAAAATTGGAACTAAGCTGTTTCTAATATTGTCTTTCTAAGATTTGAGATTCAGCACGGTGAATAATTAAGAAATATAGTGCATGCTACAACTATTTATTTTATTTGCCAAAAAGGCAAACGTAACTATAAGAGATAGTTTATATTATAAATTAAATTTTCATTGTTACTTAATGAGAAACTTAGAATAATTCATCTTTTAATCCTTTTGTAATTATAACTCGAATATGGAATGCTAAATCGATAGCATACGAATTATGTATAAATTCTATATATTTCAATCGGAGGAAGTATATCAGAAGAGAAGCTGGACTACCTTTTAAGGTTTATGCATATATGTATTTTTCCACGAATTACATTTCACATTTTGAATAAATTTTTCCATTTATACACATGTAACGAAATTGCACTTCAATGTATAAAAGATGGTTTGAGATTCCCTAAAAGAAAGTTTATTCACGTACGAAAATGTAGTAGAATGCACCTCTATTTCTGTCGAAAGGAAACAGATATTTAATTCTTACTCAAAATAATGTGATAATTATTACGGTTTTAAATACAATTAAATCTATACAATTATGTACATTTATTATATATGTATGTATGTATGTATGTAATGTACATCTGTGCGTGTATAGATATTCTATAAGAATCATCTCATAACATTTTTAACGATAAGCAACAATAACGATCAACGTTTTTCTAAACTCGTGGACATCTTTACCAATTATTCCTAGCGGTATTTTTTTATGTACAATTAAATAGGAAAAGTATTATTACAATTACGATGACAAACCTAGTTCGATACTCTTACGTGTTACAAAGATCATTGTAATGTTAGGAATTCATGCACTTGAACGAATAATGGGAGTCGCTATGCACAGTGCTATCCAGTCAATACTTTGATATGATCTAATATCTCGTTAGTTTCAAATAAATGCGAATTCTTACCGATCATAGTTTCAGCTTGATTTAATGCGTTGAGTTTTAAAGTGTTAACAGATCGTTCCAAATTACAGAGACTTCTCTCTATCGCACGTTTCTCACTATTGAGCATCTATATTTAGACGAAGAATTAAGTTTACATTTTGTACCAGTCGTTTCGACGAAATACGTTTTTTCAATTGTATTGTACGAAATATAGCATAAGTATATGAAAGGTTCAGTGTTGTAGTTTTCCAGTTAATACTTTTATGATTTTCGGGTATGAATAGTATTTATAACGAAGTTGATTATTTTATTAAATATTAAAACAATATACCCGAAAATCTACATTTTAAAAAGATATGTATAAGTATATATGTATATATAAAAATATATACATAAATATTCCTTTTATACTTATAGATTTAGAAAGTTTTAAAATTTTTTGTAATAGCTAATGTAATATTCTGTTCTTAGTAAATAATCAAATTTTTAAATTCGTAGTTTAAAGTAAAAGATTTCGAAATTTCCTTACTCACCGTGATGCCAGCGTTTAAACGAGAAAATTTATTTATTCCAGTAAATGTCGTTTGCGTGAAGTTGTTTGAAGTTCTCATTTTCATCGTTTGCGTACTACACGGTATTCCGGTTTGTTTGACGTTCACGACTGCATATATATCTTTAAATAGTATCAACATCCTGTCCGAAGGGGTGTTTTCATAATCCGTTTCACTATCTACGAACTCTAATTTAACCATTGTTTCGATATTTTTTAGCGAAACGGGATATTTAATTTTTATCTCTCGATTAGTCGCCAATTTGAATACGTATTCTTCGTAAACCACGCCATTCGAATGGGATTCAAGGCACATCACTTTCCCGCGCATATCGATTATCGAACTATCAATATCGAACTTATTGCGATTCTCGTTCTGATTGCTATTCTCATTCTTGTTCCCGCCAATTATTACAGGCGTCACATCGTGTTCCTTGCAATTCTTCGTGTCGTTGTGGTAATTATTTTCTCGAATTGACGGATTTAGTGAATTTTTCTCCACTAGAACAGTATTTTCGTTGAACGTTGATCGATTTAATAAGTTTCCATTATTGTTTCGCGAAATTGTTTCGTTTTCAGGAAATACGTGTGCGCGTCGTTTTTCGTCCTCACTTTTCGGGATTTCGTTGTGCGTCTGTTCGAGTATCTGAAACTTTTTAACGAGTTTTTACGGAAATGTCGAGAAGTATAGTACTGAAACGCGAGTGAAATTAAAGTGAGAATGATTACAAGAATAATGAAAAGTGGTTACGAGATTCTTCTTCGAACTATTTACCGAGGTATCTGCTGTGACGTAGAAGGCGATCGAAAGAACGAGAAATTCTGGAAAATTCGATGGAAGAAGCTGCACCAACGAGAAAGGTAGATAAAACTGATATTTGTCCGTAAATTTTATCGAGCATGTTCGGAATATCAATTTTTCTAAAAGTGTTACGTTATTACGTTTTTCTCGAGTGGGTTCGTCTATTTACGATAATGCGTGTTTGCATCGAGTCGACGTAAAATTTATAGTCAAAAGGGATTTCACGTGTAATGGAAATGCAGAAAGGGATGGACGTAATATTTCGATAGCATAATTTTATAGCGTGTACTATTCACGCTAACATCGCGAATAATATTCATATATTCGTATAATAATATTCGCATTAGCGAAATATATGAATATCGTAAATATATATTTTATTGCGTTTTATTCGTATCGCGTACGTCTCTTGTTTTCGTTACGTACAATTCGTGCATTCGTTTCTGAAGTAACTTATCACGGTTCCATAGCAATATAGATGGCTAATTTTAATTACCTACAAAAAAAGTGAGAAAAGCAAAAAATAAAAACGGAAAGATAAAATCCGTTTTTAGTTTAACTTTTTACTCGCTTATTTTTTACGTTTAATTGCGAGTAATCTAATTAAGCGTTTCGCCGCTGGGTGGATTATGCTTCATATTTGAAGCCGTTCCCTCAATATTTGTTTTCTAAATTTACAACGAACGCACGGCTTTCACATGCTGCGTGTTAAAGCTTGAACAAAAGCATGAAATAATGGGAGCGGCCTGGCAAAAGTAAAACCGCGGTATTGTTTCCAGCAGAAAGAGCCCGCGCAAAAATGTGATTCGATAAAATTTCAAACAAGTTGTACGTACGCAATCGCATAACGCGTCCTTTATGCCGGTCTAAATTGACTTTCACGGAACATTGAAACGGTTTTGTTTTACCGTGCATGTGATGTTCATCGAGTAAAGTATTTTGTATTCTCTTATGTCGACATAAATGGACGAAATCTCCTATGTATTATTTTGCTTGGCGAAAAGAAATAAAAAATAAATTTTTATCGCTATCGCATCATCCAGTTGGCGAAAAGAGAAAAGGAGGAAATTTTCATCGTTATTGCATCATCCCATTGGCGAAACGAGATAAAAAGGAAATTTTGATCGTTATTGCATCATCAAGTTGGCGAGGTTGCAGGGACATCTACTTTAATATGTACGAACTAAATGGCAGATTAATTAATGGCTGTCGATAAAGTTGATACCTAGAATAAACGGCATTTATATGTATCATATACTCTACTGGTAATAAGATAATTCCATAATAATAATTATAGAATAATAACAATAACAACAACAACAACAACAACAACAATTATTATTATTTATTATTATTATTATAATTTCGTATTTGGAAAACAAGATTCTAACATGGCGGCAGTCGTGCAATACAATATATTTTTAATTTTTTAAATTCAAGTTATAAATTTTTTAAATTACTTAAACTACTTAAAATATTTTTTTGCATTAATTTCCAAGTTTAGTTCAATGCGATTTTCACGTAACGCGGGATTTCTAGAACATAGTTTGCATTCGTTGTAAATTTCGCTCAACACGATTTCGATACATTCAACACAACCTATCATGACTATTCAAATGAAATATGGAAAATTAAAAAAAGGAACGGAAAAATTAACATATTAAAGGAAAAATCGCAAACAATCGAACAAAACGACAACGTTGAATGCGAAATTTTTAATAAAGAATTTGAAAATCGCCATTTGCGTTATGATAGGTTTAGTGTTGACGAATAATCAGCGTTACAGCATGGTTGACTGTATTTTCATCGGTCTCGATTGTTATAAGAGAAACTTTCGTCAATGACGAATAACGAATGGAATTTTATCCATTATCTGTTTACAATTCCATCTTCGTTTCTTCATTACTCTCCTTTTAAATTCGTTATACGCGATCGTCCGAAACTCATTTATTTCCACATTTAAAGTAACTTTCATCCGATATCGATTCCCGCGAATCACGAGCAGCGAGCGAAGGTTGTTTGGGAAATATTTTTCACTTTAATTACAAGCTTTTACCTCCACGTTCGAATAATAATCGCGCGACCATGTCGGATCTCGCGACCAATAGCGTGGATTTCCCATTAAAACGAGGATGAAAGGTACTTACCTTCCTTTTAAGTTTCTTCACGACTTCTCTCAAAACGGAATTCTGTTCCCTTAATAAAACCAGTTGCGGTTCATCCTTTCTGTCTTTCACGGTCCAGGCGAGATGCCTGAGATTCTTCATGCTTTCTTCGAATAAGTTTCCCCGGTCGGTCAAGTTCTTCAAAGCTGCGCCGCAGCGGATACATTCGACTTACACAGTAGAATCTGAAAATGGCGGATAATACTTACCTTCCGCCGCGAGTTGACAGACAGAGCCGACATCCACGTCGAAACGTTTTAAAGTTTCAAGTAGGTTCGCCAGCTCGGAAGCTCGCTCCTCGTGTACCCGTTCGGAATCTTCGTACGTCCCTATCCGCTCCTCTAATCGGGTCACCTATTAAAAGCAAATTCAATCTGCCGAAACAACCGTGTCACCGCCGTCCCTGCATCTCGAGCTTAACCTTTCCAATCGTCCAATTCCGATCGTCCGATTTTAATTCCCCTTTCCACAGTTTTGTAAAACGGCAATTTGCAATGGAACAAATCGGCTGATCGAACGTCGATCAAGGTAACTGTAACTGGCAGCTCCGAAACTGCTCAACACCGAGCCCACCACGGTCAAATGACCGGTGAACGAAAAAGCAGTAAAACCTTAAAAAATGGAATAACGGCAGACATTGAAAGATTGATTACACGTATATCGGGGGGAAAATCGTTATATCGAGGGACTAAGACGATAACGTTACACGCGGAAATTTCATTGAAAATTTTCAATCGCGTAGCTTTAATTCCCAGAGAAAACGAATGATCGACACAATTACGATCGTTTCGTAATTCCATCGTTGAAATTATATTTTGAAATATTACACGGATTCGGCAGTGCCTGCGTTTGACAGCGAATTTCACGGCTCTCCTCGGAGAAATTGCATTTCGGAATGAAACTTTTACATAACCGAACCGTGCTCCGAACTGCATGAAATTTTCATCGTTAATGAGGTCGCGGTGATAATTCCGTATAATTAAAACTCAGTAACTCGAACGCATTCGTCGTCGCGTTTTTCCCGATTGCATTGCATTGCAGGAATAAATATTTCCCATCGTTGATTACCATTTAAATCCTATCTCGTTTCATCGAAATTTCGAAATTACCATTTTCAAGCAGGAGGAAGCAGCTTCGTGGTAGTTGCTCACGGTAACCCGCCATTGTTTCCTAATTTTAGGAGGCGGTGTCTTTCATTAACGCGAACCATTAACGATTTAACAACCCTTGCACCCTTGTGACCTCTTAGTTTCCAAGATTTAAGGTCCACGTGCGCCGGACAACGCGTTGCTATCGTTTCGTTTTTGCAGGACGAGGTTAAGCTTTTGCGTTTGCCTCGTTTCACGCGAGATCGTTGTTGACTGGAAAATTGACGCAAGCATAGGTGAATGTCGAGCAAGGAACAGGAGAGATCGATAGCACAGGTGGAGAGCAGAACGAAAAGAAGCGCGAAGATTAACGAGGTACTTTCGATATTAATCGCGGGAAACTGAATTTTTGAACGAATTTGCGACCAATGGCGTTATTAACCCTTTGCACTCGAGAGGTAACTCGCTGTCAGTCACCGTTTGTTTCAATACCTGGAAGCCTGAGTAACGAGTACGAGATATTACTAGATTAGAAATAACTCCACATGAAATATGGAAATGAAATGCACGTGATTTTCTCTTTTTATTTTAACATAAATGCAGGATCGGGGTGGGTGGATGGGCTGAAGTAATGTTGTTTTACTGCTTCTTAAAATAAAATAAACTTATACTTGTTGGCTACGAAACTAGAGATCCGCTACGGGTACGCTCGACTTTTACTGCTTAGGCACTATGTTGAGGACCGTTAAAGACTGGTCC